CCCCAAAACCCCAAAACCCCAAAACCCCAAGAGAGCGGTGGAATATTGAAGGTTAATAATTAGATCATAGAAAAGTATATTTTAAATCTATAATTTCTTAAAATCAGGATTTTGTGTTATGTCTGGTGTAACTGCTGTTTTCTTCAGAGATCTTTCACCAGATTCAATTTTTTCTATATCTTCTAAAGCAGACATTTTTCGAGCTTCAGCCTACACAAATTACCAAATGCTTACATTAAGCGGGTTTGTCGATTCAATACTATCAAGTCCTAAATCATTTAGAGCAGAATGATCATTGCTCTCATTCCTATACTGCTTTTTCTCTAGTTGCTGAGTATCATTATTCAAAGAATCTCTCTCCTGAAAATCATCAAGCTCGCTCCCCAGTAACTTCTCAGCTACAGTTTCATATTTTTGGAACTTGTATTCAGGACTCTTCCTCCAGTCCAAGTCTTGAGCTATGCTTGGTTTCTTTGTCTTCTCAGCTAAACCTACTAGATCACACCATTGGCTTACTCCAGTTCTCGGAAGGCTGATTTATATTGTATTCCTCTCTTTGGAAATTTTCGAATGTTTCGATTGGAATGAACTCTTCTTGAGTTTAACATTCTTCTATATATTAAAATATTTCTTACATTGCCCTTGTCCTTATCTCCTCCGAGGTAATTAGGGAGTAATGACTTGGATGCACCATAGCGATGCATAGGAGAATGGTGGCCTGGGATTGTGTCCTTTAGGATACCTCCAGCCACATCCTCTACTTTAACTTTGTCAAAATGTGAATAAACGGTAGTGTCTTCATATTGAATTCCCTGTGCATCAAGAAGCTTGTTGAGCTTGCCTACAATGCTCTTCTTCAGGAAGAATATTTCCTTATTTTTGCACATCAATGACATCAGCCATCTTATCAATCTTAACATGGAGGCTAAGAAGTGCTTTTTCGTTCCTTTGAGTGTCATTGGCAGGCACTCGTCTCAGAATATTGTTCTTCCTGATTGTTTCTGAATGGTCATGCTTCATTTGGGCTTTAACTTTAGCTTGATGTAGCAACTCACGAATCTCATAGGTCTGGGTTGACCGAATTATTCTATTAAGCCTGCTGATACCAAGCAAAAGACGCTTTTTGACACTCATTTTATAAAGTTTGTACCTGTATAGCTTGTAGTCACATACTGGGGGAGGAGTGTGATCGATATAGTTCTCGTATTCGACCATCATAAGGTTTAAAGAATTATGATCCTTACGTAAATTTTGAACTTTTTCAATCCGGCATCGCATAATCACTCATTCTGACTTAGCTCTAGCTGAGGAGATATAAAGTTCGCTGTTGAGGCATCCATAACCTCCAAGAGTACATCCAGTATAAAGTGTGTCAATGTATGACTCCTTGTTTGTATTTTTGATGAATATGTTAAGTTCTCCTGAACAAACCACGTATATGCTATCTCAAATTTCTCCTGCTTGAAATAAATATCTTCCTTCTTCAAGTGTAATGTATTCGAATTGGTACGAAAGCTCGTTGATTACTCGATTTGATACTCCGGTTGTAAGATAATCTATACTTCTCAAAGCTCTGTGCATAAATTTTCTCCATTTGTCATTATAAGTAGAGTGGATATGATCGTTCATCAAAGATTTGATAGAAGGAACATTACCAAGTAGTGCATCAAAATCATTACGTGATAGCTCACCTAGCGTTCCATAGTTGCTACTCGTAACCGTAGCTGTCCTCTTTCAGTCTTTTAGCAAAGCGACTTCTCCAAAATAACTACCAGTTGATATAGTATTGGCAAGAGAGAATTTCTGAAATTCGTCAGCTACTAGAACATTGAGAGATCCTCTCGCACAGAAGAACATGCTGTCAGCCTCATCACCTTGAATTACGATATTTTCTTCGGGGACTCAGACCTTAATTTCTAATTTCTCTCAAAGAAGGGTGACTAGGTCTTCCTTTTTCTCTAACACATCATTTGTCATGAGGCAGTCTTTGAACATATTAGTCATGACCTTTTTCTTCAGACTAGGAGATAAAATCTGGAAAAAATCATTCATCTCATTCTGACTCTGAAGATGAGTATCTGTATACTCCATAAAATGCTTGATCTGGCTCTTCACATTCTCATTCAAGTTCATATTCTTCATCACATCTGTGGTAGTCTCCAACTTTTCTTGAAATTGAGTTGACTTCCTGTTCATGGCTTGTAACATAACTGCGAAGTTACCGAAGATTATAGCGTTGGTGATGGCTCAGATTCAGAGAGCGAGTCATGTAAACACAAGTTCGTATTCTCCTCTTGGTCCTATATCGTTCCCTCCAAGAAGCAGAACTGCATGGTAGATAGCGCTTCAGTACTGAAAAACACTGCTTTCTGAATAAATTGTTGTTGTAATGTACACATAATCTAACGGCGGGATCCACTTCTCTGTTTGCTTTGCCAAAAAGAACCAGAAACAGCCGAGACAGTGTAAGAAGAGTAACAGGAAAAATACTAGTTTGATAAGTCTCAGAGAGGATTTCACTTCGTTTCTAATGTTCATGTAGGTGATTAGCTTGGAAAGCCTCAAAATTCTCACTAGTTTCAATAAGCTCAACAATTCAAAAGGAATTGTGTTACTGCTTGGATCTAAATATCTGATGTAATCAAAAGGAATTGAAGCAATCAGATCTATCCAAAACTTCCCTTTCAAATAGTGTTTAGCAATTTTAGAATAGGAAGTCACCTCAACTTTAGTAGCTTTGTCTGTGTAAGTTGTTACAAAGTTGATCAATAAATCAAGGATAAAGAGAAGATTAGTTAGAGCATCCAGAATTGTTGAATACAGAGGCTGATGATTTTTATCAGTAAATGCCACATTATAAGGGACATCAAAGCAGTTATATACCGCCACGAACATGACTAATAAATCCCATCGGATTCGAAAGCGGCTTTCTTGATAGAAAAGGAACGTTTTCTTAAATTTGATTGATATCATCCCTTCAAAGTCTTGGTCTGCCTCTTCATCTTTCTAAAGAAAATTCAAATTTTAATCTCACCTCTCCTTCTCTTGAAGCTTCTGACATCAAATGATTGACTAAATCATTACCTACTAGTTACTCTTACCTGTAGGCTTCTTGTCCATGTTCAGGTCTGGATTACTCGGAGCAAAATTAGAGTCTGGAAATACCTTATCCAGTTGGTTCATATTCGCAGATTGAAATAAAGCGGCTTGCCTAATTGAAAACCTGCTAAAATTCTCTATATGGTCATCAAACTCGAAGCCTTACGATCCTGTGTACTTAGATGCTCTAGAGTAAATTTAGAAAATATTCTAAATGAATGACAAAGTGGGGTTGTCCAAATGAAATATTTCATCAATTTTTATTACATATGCACTCATAAAAGTGATTAACACATTAGTTACTGATATTTTTAAAGTTATTTCTATCTCTCACCACAAGCTTATTCTAGGTTCCAGAAAATAGTGATTTAAATTCAAATTCAAATATAAATATTATATTTATTCCTTAGAGTCAGTTTATTAGGCATTACAAAATAATAAGAACAGCTTACTCTTAGCAATGTTAATTTGGCTTCCAGGATAAGAAATCTGAGCTTTAGTCTCAGGGAACTTCTGATCGTTCTTATCATCACTAAAATAGTCGCTCTCTTTGCTCTCACTAATGTTAATATCACCGTCTTCAAACATAATCCTTTGGGAATTTTTGGAGCTATAATCTTAGGTTAATTGTCAATCCAGAGACTTGATTTTGAACTTATGCAAACATAAAGAGGTCAAAATTGAGGCTATTTTAAGACCGAAGCCAGTGTCCGTAATTTCCGGAGCTCAGAGACTTACATCTCATTCCCATTTGTAACATCATTAAGTTCCATTTTGTATAATATAATAATTCTATTCTAAGAATGTGCTCTGGGGTTTTGGGGTTTTGGGGTTTTGGGGTTTTGGGGTTTTGGGGTTTTGGGG